CCTAAGTCCCCGTCCTCCCGCCGGCTCAATAACCAGCTGCTCTTTGTCAGAGGAGCCCGCGTTTCTCTCTCCCAAGGGAGGGAAGAAAACCGGACTCGAGGAAATGGATGGACATTTTGCCAACTCCATAACCCCCTTCCCATGCCATGTGTATGGGAAATAACTTTCCAACTCAATTTTGGCACTGAAGCCACGTATACCCTGAGATCAGAATGAAACAATATATAACGATTATTTCCCTCAGCCTTAGGGAGGCTTACATAAAAAAAGAAAAGGAAAACTAGAACAGAATAGACAAACATTCCGTCTTCTGTCTCAGTGACCACGGAATAGACTGTACTACAAAAAGAGCTGAACTATAAAAACAGACTATAATTAGAAAAAAGCAAAGCAGGCTACAAAATTAGCGGAAAGCAGCTCGCGTATCTCCTCAAGCACTGCCACAGGAAGCATGTAGTCTGGACTGTTATCGGATAAACAAAATTAAAAGCAGCATCTTCCACACCTGAAAGGCGCGGGCCCAATTCGAGACACGAAAAATGATAAATAGCCTTAAGAGTTTAGTCGAAACTCTGAAATATAGGTCAAGCTTAATATGCTACACTGAACTCCGAATGCGCCTCTTTCGAAATACACAATCTCAACGGCAGATAACGAAAATTTAGCTGTACAAAAACACAAAAGCTCATTGCATAATCAGTTAAATTTTGCAGAGATACATGATTCAGAAGAGTATGTTTAAAACGCAGGCCCTGAAAATCGAACAATAATTCTGATTTTATTCCCTCTACAGGCTTCGCTAGAGTATTTCCTGTCTAAAACTCACAAAAAAAATAGAAAAAGAAAACAGGAACAAATAACTGTAGGTGTTGAATAAATGTGTACCTCGAACTTAAATAACCATCCTAGAAAAACTTTTATCTTTCTTTTACTTGAACAATAGTGCATCACAACTTAAACGTGGCAAAGGTAGGAAAATAACTTTTCCGTCTAATTTTACGGTTAATTACTCGGATTTTTTTCTATTAAAAATTACTTTTCCAACATTGAAAAACCCATGCATAGAAAAGCATTCAAAGGTTCATTACGAGAATCTTTGTATGGCCATGATACAAAGATGGTTTTCTCTGTAAAAGAAACCTTAATTACTGCTCCGGAGATTTGGGCGACGAGATAAATCGATTGCAAGGAAAAATAAGCAGTTGCTGTTCAGAAAATGTGTGTGTCTGGAACGTACAGTGAAAAAGCTCTCTTCACTTTCACGATTTAAGACTGCGATAAACATAACGGTAAAAAAGACTTCATTTTCAAGCATGTTAAATCCCTGTTAATTGACAGAGAAGAAAAAAATTAAATAACGAATTTAGTCGGCATATTGCCAAAAATATCCACTGAAATTTTTTTAATGATAAATGAAATTTCAGTGCAAAAATCAACTTTTTTTTACGGGATATATGAACCTAAGAGAATAAGTACACTTGATGACGTGCGCACGAACAAGAAGCGATATTGAAGAGGAAAATAAAATAGTATTGGAACACGAACAGTTGGTCGTGTTCCCTCGATCATGTGCCACTCGAATGCACTGTCCTCCGTTAGCTCTTCGCAAAATATGCGAATAATTTATACTTAAAGAGCTAAGGAAAAGCAACGAACTAAACTTTCGCCCTTTCTTCCTGCCCATAATGATTACCTATGCCCAGATATTTCGTTCACTTGTCGTAATACACGGCTTCACATTTCACATACGTGTATTTCAATCTAAGTTTCATTTTTCTTTCGCTCTAGGCGAAAGTGTTAATATATCCAGCTAGTATGTGTTCGCCTCTTTCTATCGCATTCGCGAAACAAAAGCTGTAATGAGCAGTTAATGGCTACCGCACACAAAGTGCCTCTTAAAATGTTCCTCAGATAATGGGCGGACTCAAACTTGAAACATTTTTTCCTGAAGCGAAATCGCAACACGCAAATATAAGCTTGATAATTGCGCAACGATTAAATTGCATCTTGTTTTTCGAGGGAGATTATAACTGTATTTTAAAACGAGCGAATCTCAAATCTCCCCTTCGTGATTCAAGAAAACAGTCAAATAATAGAAAAGCAAACAAATTTATTGAATTCTAAGTTTGAAATCTCAGACTTTTCTAGTGCATGGTTGCAACACGGGTGCTAGACATCAATTTTGAAAAGCTCCCACGGTTTTTCAACTCCGAACCCATTTCCCAACCGATTTAAACGAAATTGAATATTTTTAGTCCAGTATATTAATTGGTATCACTATCTAAAAAGCTTTATATTTTCAATTTCATAAAATCGTAGATTATTAGTCTAAACGTTGTAGCGTTAATTACTCGTTTAAGTGCAAAGCAATCAAGTGAACATTTCTCTGTTCCTCATCAATAACAGCAGCCTTTGTTCATTGTGCTTATCCTCATTTTTATGGCTCGTTTTTATTCAAACAACGCATTTGGACACTTCACTTAGCCAAATAAACTTTTAAATCGAGCGGCTTATGTTTTTTTTTACTAAAAAATTAATTTTTCCCTGGATTCAGCGACCTCCATATTTCAAAGAAGTTCATCCTGATAAATTGTTTGTACGAAACTTAAGAAAGAGAACAAGAGACTGACACCTATTTTTAAAAATAAAAAAACTGAAAACAGTTAAGTTTTGTCCAAGTGAATTCCCTGTTATAGAAAAGATAAAAGCTACGATTAAATTGAGTCTAGAAAACCATTATGTAGAACTGGGTGTAAGCTATTATTTCAAACTATTTTAATAGTAGAAGGAATATTTCAGCGTGCATGACTTTTAGAATTTCTTTATTCATTCAATCGACTAATGGAAAGTAAAAAAGGAAAGCCGCTTTGAAAATTTGAACCTTTGAATTTGCCGATGGTAAAATTTGTGAATGCAAAGTAACGCGCATATTTTTAACTGTACAAAGAAACCATGAAATGTTTAAGCCGATTGCCTTTGGGAAAACACCATCTACACACAAGTGTTTGGATATGATAATTGACAGTTTAAATTACCGATCCTCGGCCCAAATGGCGGAAAACGTTTTGATTAAGCTGCGATTTTTCCTAGAACACTTGAGATGCTTTGAATCTGAGACTATTCTCAACGAAGAGAGGGTCATGCGAAATTGTAATCCCACGGAAGAGTGCATGCGAAGTAAAACATATGAACGTTAACAAGCTCGAAACAGACCGACAAAATATGTCATAATTTCTGCCATTTAAAACAGGATGATGGCAAAACCGTGAAATAAAATAACAGGATACAAATTAACCGTTGTGTGATTATTCTGCATTGGATAGCCAAAAGCGATAAACAAACACCAGTCACAACTTACTAAGTGGAAGGCGTGGAGCAAACCTCATCAAAGCCAAAGCCCAAAGGTAATATATATTTTAAGTGTTTGTTTCCTCTTTTTTCTTCCTTTTCCCCTAAAGTTTAATTTTCTAAATTCCTCAGTCGGTCAGCTGACTCAGGTTTCACTGGAATAATTTAGCAAGAAACGCTAGTTTAACTTGGGGGCGGTTTTGCTTGAAGTTTTAATCACTTCAACATATTGGCAGCGAAATTCCGCTCAGATTCAAGAGGTGCAAGATAACACTTACAAGCCACTGCTCAGGTAGAAAATAGTTATTTTCCCCCTCTAAATTTTTAAGAGGAAATAATTTTATAACCAAAAAGGTAAATTAATAGACTGGAAAATTCAAAAGTGTGTATGCTTATACTAAGTAACCCAGAAGATTTTCATTTCCCGCGTTTTCCACGACACAACGTTGATATTATGAATTCAATGTTTTATATTTCAATTGACGTTCAGCGGGAGAGCATTTTTAACATTCTCATTTCCCTTATTGTATTATTTGTTTCTTTTCAAGACCTTAGAAATGTTTGCCGAGTAAAACTCTTGTTTATTTATGAAATAAGGGGGAAAAGATACTTTATTGTAACGTTCTATTTCAAACTCGCAAATTTTCTTCGCGCACCGCAAATTCGTAATGACCACTATACGTCTGCCTCAACTTTCCTTCGTCGATTAGCAATCATTTTGTTTCACCATAAAAAAAACAAAGATGACGAAGTGAATTTGCAATATCATTAAGAACTACATCCTTAAAATGCAGGTCTAGAATAAGAGGAGATAAAAGTTGAGATTATTTTCGCGAACGAATAATTTTTTTATCAGCCTCAGTGTTTATCTTTTTAATTCACTGCCAATTTGACTACTTTTATTTTGGTTAAGCTCCGCTTACAACAACCAACGAAAAAATATAACATTTTCACATCAACGGATTTATTCAAACTGATAGCGCATTCTTTAAGGATAGGTTTTAGAGGAAAAGAGAGCCATTTATCAGAGATACGATCAAAATTTTGAGGGATTTTTTTTTTAGTAACCCGCAAACGTTCGTTATACTTCCATCTTACTAAAGCAGGTGTCATTAACTATTTCCAAAAAATGGTACATTTTTCTCCATTTCCAAGACTCAAAATAAGATTTCGAAAGATTCAGACATCCTGCACCACAACTAACGTTTTGAAGCACTTAAACTTACTTGAAAATAATGAATTTTCCACTTTCGCCTGTCAGACTTGGTTTGTTAAAGCAATATTTTGCCTTCCTTTTCCGTAAAATGTTCGCTCAATTACAGTTGTGTGTTCACAGAAACTTATCCCACTGCGGTACTCGCCAATAACTTGAATTCATTCTAACCAACCTACCAATTTATTGAGCACGAAAACCGCAACATCTATATAACCTGTGTTTTCTCTACTACTTATTAGCATGTCCTTTGTGAAGACGGCAAATTTTACTTGCTAGAAATGCAAATTGGCAAAACTATGGTCGTATTAGCGAACAAATCGCTGTATTCGCCTATTCTGTGCGGGGTAAACATTTATTTTCATCCCAATTTTCTCTATAGCCATTTCAACGGCTTTCCATTGTGTGTTGTTTTGAAAGCTAAAAAGAAAGGTTTATTTCAGACGGGGCTGAATTCACTGCTTTAGAATAACCAGCCAGGCACGCGTTGTGACAAATTCTGGACTCCTACCAAGCGAAGTAAGTGATAATTCTTAAAGATTGCTCGGTAATTCTTCATTGATGCCAGCTTATATATAGAGGTGCTAGAATAAATTCACTTCTAAATGTCAACAAATATCACTATTCTCTAGCCGTTGTTGAGAAGCGAAAAGAATTGTTTTCTTCTGGGATTTTAGAGCTCGATAAAGTTAATGAAAGTGCTTTGGTAGTCTCCTGGGGTGATAACCCAATTTATGCACTAAAATATTTTCCCGCGAAGAACAAAAAATTCAACTGAAACGTGCATGGTTTCTTGGGAAAAAAATCTACTCATTTTCAATCTTTTTTTTTCCGCCCGCCCTGATCGATATCTCGAGTACAATCTTAGACTTAAAAATTCCTCATAACATCTAAATTGCTTTCTCTAGCAGGGGACAGGTGTCTAACAATTTTAACTAGGACTGAAACTTGCTCCGAGCTATATTTCAACAGAATGTTTATTTTTCTCAAGAGATCGTCTTTCTTTCATCTTTGTCTCGCTAGTTAGTTTAATTCAGCGGTCAAAGTTTATTTACACAACCAGGAAAAGATATCACATCGCTTTACGCCGGCCTCGCAGCAATAAATACCATTATTATTCATTTTCCCTACTTTTTGCGGGGAACATTAATTTGGTGAAGAGTTTGTTATCTTAGCCTTGAGCAGAAAAAGCCATAATTAAAAGTCGCACGTCGAGAAATGTTAACTTCGCAACATTAGGTTGTTTTAAAAAAGAGCGATCTCTGTTATTTGCTTTCCAATTATCCAAGGCATTTCACGGGTGGGCAACGCTTCTTCCTGCTCGCAACTCTCTACGACAATCACAATCGCCGATATATCCACAAGAGACAAAGGATAAAAAAGAGAACAAAGAACGCTGTTTTGGTAAGCTTTATCTCTTTTGTGCAGCATTCATTTTCTACCTTTCGTTCTCTCGTGGTAAACTTCACAGCGGGGCACCAGTAAATTTTCAACTTTGTCTAATTGGAAATAGTTTGCAGCGAAAATCCCTTTTCCTCCATTTCTATGCCGTTAACAGTTGAAGCTGCCCTTCGTGCTAAATAACATAATTAAAGCCAGTATTTGTCTCTTGATTAGCAGTGTAAACAGAGAGGAAATAAACTCGAATACAAATACAAATGTAGGTGTAGAGCATTTCTCTAAATATAATTCCAAGTCACAAGCCATGCAGTTCCAATGTTTGTTCTACCAAACTCCCACGGGTTCGCCCTAGATTGAAAATTACCTCTGGTCGCATGGAAAAGCACCTAACAAAGATTAAGAAAGCGACTTCGTCGCAGGAGTCTCCTAGACTTTTTTCTCATTTTTTAAGACAAAAAAGCACGTAAGAAAGAAAAAAAATAGAATCGCCTTTCTTTATTGAGTTCGGCGCACACAAGCTAAAGAAAAGTACATGTTTAAACTTTTGGCTAAGACAATAGTGCTTACAATGATCACAATAAGATTTGCCAATTCTCAATTCGGAAATATTTATCTAGCGGTGCAAATCGGTTGTAACCCAAGTTTTTAATGACTCTGCAAATACGACGGTCTATCAGCAGATTGGATCTAATTTGTCAATGTCCTTTCGTTGGTAATGCAATCATCAAGTATCGAAAGCGTTCGCACTTCAAGGCGCACTCATGCACGGAAAATCAGCGCTGAGGATTTTTAAAACTGTGTTTTGCCCTCTTAGTCTTTTACATCTAGAGTACAATACACGAAGACCCCTAGGCCACTGTTTGAAAAGCTTTTTCTCTTTTCATTTATTGTGCCGTTCAATGAAAACCAATTGACCTCGAATATGCGAAGTTCGCTATGATTATTCGCGAAAAGGATCACACAATACAGCTTTCATTATGTAAATCGCTCCAAGCAGTCCATTAAATAGAGAAAAGCTGAAAAGTTTGTAAATCTCTTTAAAAAAGCGACAATGACGCACAGAAAGGCAAGGTAAGCCCTTAATGAAACACGTGCAAAGCTAACAATAGCGAATGCCGCAGATGTGGTGAAGGCATTGAACGGAAAACATTATTATATTGAAATAGTTTGAAAAGCGCACCTGCCTGAGTCGTGCAGGTGTCGCGCTACTGTGATTAGAACAATGTTTGAATGAGAGAGCAAACAGAACCGAAAACTTCCAATAACTCAGTGATCATTGCGTTATAATCCGCTGCTAAGTGTTCCCACTTGTGCGATCCTCGTGTTATCCTCAAAATATCCATTTCTGGGCTGCCAAGCGAAAGTTTCGCCGCTCTAGCACACGTGTTTCAGAGTTATAGCACAAGAATTGCCGCCGAACTTTCCCGCGCATTGATTGGCCGACAACGGAAATATACATAATTCATGCACAAATAATTAACACCTATTGTTTACTTCTTGTATTATTATTGAAATGAAATATTAGCATTGTCCTATTATATCATTATACCCATCAGCCATAATCACGCCTGTGAGGTGCTGTAGCTGTTGAGCCGGTCGACCAGGCAAATAACAGATTGAGGTTGCTCCTTTGAGAACAGTTTGACCGTACTCACCCTCGCGTGAACATCACCTAACTCCGTCCGTCATCGACTGCCAAGACAACAGGGATCAATCCTATTAACAACTTCAACGACATGGGCAAGCAAGAAGAGGGCCACATTAAGAGACCCATGAACGCGTTTATGGTGTGGAGTCGTGGTAAGAGAAAGCAGTATGCTGCGATAAATCCGCGAATGCACAACTCTGAAATCAGCAAGCGACTCGGAGCCGAGTGGAAAATGCTTTCACAAGAGGAAAAAGAACCGTTCGTAGCCGAAGCGAAGCGACTGCAGGCCATCCACATCCAAGAGCACCCCGACTATAAGTACAAGCCGAAGCGACGCAAACCGAAATCACTGCAGAAGAAAGAGCTAGCGGCCCCAATGTTTTCACCATACAGCGCCCCAATGATGGCGGTCGATAAATTCTCAACGAATCAATTGCCTCAAACAATAGCTCATTCAACGGCTTTGTCCGCGGACCCAATGTATTCCAAAATAAACGGAGCAGCAGCGTTTCATCACTCGGTTTCACCAGGATATCCAGTGATTTACCCCAACGTAACCGCAGTGAACACTCACCATTCGGTTACTCCACCATCGCGTCAGCTATTCGCAAGTTCCTTGGACACAACGCATTCATTCCGCGCCGCCGCCGCCGATGTTATGAGCCACAACAGAGCTCTTTATACCAGTCAAGCCTTCCAAACTGCGCTACCTTCCCAAATGCAGCAGAGAATTTCTAGCGTGGACGAAACACGAGGCGCTTCTATCAGTAGTGGAGCATCTTCCAGTCCGACCGCTTCAAGCAGCGACGCGCCAAGCAAGTCCAATGGTTATACAGTTTCCACTGCTGAACTGAATGGACAACGCGTTTGGCAGCCTCAACAGGATCTGTCCCGACCAGTGGCCTATGTCCCGGTATTGCTTTAAATTTCTTATGTATTTGCCACACCTTTTAATTTAAGGACTAACCCATAAACTGATAGTATATCATTAGAGATTCGATCATGCCAGAAACTTTACGCGTGAAACTCCTCGTCAGCATACGTTACTAAGTATAATCATTCAGTTTCTATAATAATGAGCGAAGATCACTTTATCTCGAATGTTTTCGCTAGTTTTTTTCTTTTCCTTAAGTGTAAAGTTTATTAGCGCCGACGAGTACATTAAAAGCATGTGATAATGCGTCTTTCAGACGCTTTTTCAGTTCATGCAAGTTGAATTCTGTATTATTTCTAGCAGCAAATTTCCGTTTAGCACAAAGAGCGCGGGCTTGTGATAAATACGGATTAATGAGGAACAATTTCGAGTTTACAATGAATAATGACGAAGTCTTGTCAAACGGTACAATAACTCGGTTAATATAGTGTAACAACACATCGCTTGGTATCACAGATATTCAATTTGCTGTAACGGTTTGGTGTCTTCTTGATCTGAAACTATCCCAGAGCGATCAAACGAAATCGAAAATGAAGTTCTAATTTTTTCTTCGTTTTTAATATATGCGCATTATCTGGTGCATACGTATGTTGTGAACAAACAAGGGCACAATGCCTCAACTGTTTTATCTCGAAGGAAGTTAAAAGAGTTTGGCTCTGATTATAAACTCAATCGGCCGGGCATGTATTTGACACTACGGCATCTCGTTATATAGCGGAACAATACTCTAATCTCGGGATTCAAACCAACATTCTGTTTGGGTCATTGTTATGCAAAGATTGTAATTCACTTAATGCGATAAAACAAGTGGCCACGTCAAAGACGAGAACAAAACAATTTCTAAATATCTAGGTACAACTTTCCTTTTAGTGCGATCAATGAGGAGATACCAATGTTTACATTAAGTTCATCGCCTCTGTCGCCAGTGTGCAACACCGCGTTCAAGGTACGAAAGGAGAGAAAGATTACTTGAAATATTTATTTTTTTTCCACGTTTTTGCATATTTATGCGCGGTGCGATCAAAAGCTTTCATGTCGCTCGCTGAGGTAGTTTCCATTAAGTTAATTTCGCCCGTAATGGCAAGCTAGAGAGTTAAGGAAGTTTTTCTACTTTATTACATGGACCAGTTAAAGTAACACGATACGTTCGCATTCAAGTTATTATCATTTTGTTTTTGAAAAATTGTAAATTACGAGATTCAAACCCACATGCCGAACGCATGGTAGACTACGGAAATTTAATTCATGCCTCAGTGGTCGATTTACTCACATGCCAACTTCGATAAGCAAACTGAAAACCGAAACTTCTAGGTTGTCCAATTTGTTCAAACAAACACATGACGGAAAAATGTGAAGGCTAGGATATGTCACCTAACGAAAGACACACGGCGCAAGAGCATCTTCGCTTATTTTACCAAGAGTCTTGAAATTAAAATGATTTATTGGATTGCCTAGTCTTTTCCAAAATACTCTTTATAAATTAATGAGCTCTTTGAGGTATTGTTGACCATGGTTCGCCGGAATAGGGACCTTAACTTTGTACATATAATGACCGCGAATATTTACGACTTAAAGTTATGGAAAAAAAGTTCACTAGTCGTAAGCTACCATAAGTCAAACAATTGATAGAAAAAAAATCTTCTTCAAACCAAAAATATGTTAAAACTTCGTTGGTTATAGAACATTAGCTTTGTGATTATTATTTTTTATGTCTACGATACGCAGTACTTAAAATACTGTAGCAAAGTTCTTATTTAACGAACAAGTTTAAAGTTTGTTCTCTATTCATTTCAGATAACTATGAAGAGTAAAGTCCGTTTTCCAGCCCATTTCAATTTTGCCTAGTTGTATACATTTCGATATTTGAGAATAAGTATATATCTCAGTATTATTTTTTGCCATATGCTTTAAGTTTACTGCATTGTGAATGCCTGAAAATTAAGTCGGCCTTCACTTGAGAATAAACTTTTTTTTATGCTGTAACGTGCAGCGCCACAAATTTTGGCGTTTAAGGAAAACATTTTTCTTTTTGTTACCTGAATCGAAATGTGAAATACAAAAGTGACTTATTAAACCCTATGTATCAGTAGAAGGTACGAACTTTGTTGAACAAGTATTAAAAATTTCAAGTTTGTATATGGAAATCTTTCGTATAAGTCTTCATTTTTTTCTCTTGAAAAGGTAGCAAATTATTACATATCAGAAATGTGCTGATATTTGAAAAGAAGTATGTAAAATCCTTCTCTGTGTAATATAAGAGTAAATAAAATAGTGATGTGAAGAATCTTCGCCTTTTATTTTTTATCTCGTAAGGACTTGCCGCAAGAAACTTTTAAGTGCAAGTGCTCGCGAAACGGGGGCAAGAAAAGCTCTCGGTCTTAACCGTCTCCTAAAAACCTCCCTCACTGCGTTTGTCTTTATAACCGCGCGTCTAAGTGTTACTTCGTACCTGAGTCGCACACGAGGTTAAGATAAAATGTTGATAAAATGTTGATTTATACAGTTGTACAAACTTCGTACCGTCTAAAGCAAATTTTGCCGCGTTCAAGCTTTGTAGATTTAGCGCAGCACTGAAGAAACGAATGCAAAGTTATGCGAGGAAACGAAAGTGAATCCCTAGTTTCTATGTATGACTCACACTGACTATTTTGAAGTTGAAATTTCCCCCTTGCTGCCATATCGTTCTAACTGTTAGTCGTATACGGCAAAGGTTTAACCAAAATCGACACAAAAAAAAGTTTTGTTTATCGACATGCCCTTAACGCCTAGAAATCATCACAATGAAAGTATTGTTCACACTCTAGTGATAAGAAAGTGCGGAACATTCAATTTTTTGTACACTCGACCAACAATACAACTTTTCTTTCTTTACTCATTATAGACCTCTAGGTTGAAATACAAATTAGCCAACAAGCTCATTACTCTATGACTCGAAGCACTTCTCGTAAATTAGCGCGTACAAATACACATTTGTTCTTATTAGGAGTTCAATTCTGTCGGCCTAATCTGTAAATTTAATTTTCCTCTAGTTTTCCCTGTATCGTCTGGCCCTTTGGGGAAGCATTTCCGCCATAAGAGAAACTATTCGTGTTTCAACGTGGGTGTTTGTAAAGTACAATTTCACTGCACATTTATTTTTGACTCATCGCACCGTTTTTCTGACTTGTTTAATCGCTGGTGTAGTCCATTTGAGCCAAAACAGGCATGTGTTTTAAACAATTTTCGTAAAATACGAAACAATACGATATCAAGACTGACAATATCAGAGAAAGAAATTTTCATTCTCTTGCGTGTGTTGTCAGCGCTGAACGCAAATTTAGAAACAGTTCCTCCGGCACAAACGCACAAGAAACGTGAACTTTGCGGGTCATGGAGAACTTGCAACAAAAGATAGCTTGACAATACCGGTTACCGCAAAGAAAAGCGTAAACAATAGCTTAGAACATGTGAAAACAGTGTATTGTAGTGGGACCATGTTGGGTATCATTGTTATTTTTATTAGCCATGTGGGAGCACACGGTGTGTTTTCAAAGAGTTTTTATTGATGCTGGAAGTGTCGCCCGATAATGACATTCCCTCAAGTTGTGCGATTGTCTTCAACCTACTGCATCTCTGAGTTTATTCCTTTATTCAACAAAGTTTTCGCGCGTTTTTTATTTTTTTTTCAAGGCGACTTTATTAATTATCAGATCACAGGAAAAACTGGCGAATTTGACAACAAAAGCACCCCTTTCTTTTGCAACAAAAATATACATATATATATATATAATTTTAAAAAGTAACGAGTTTCACAATATCTTCTAAGACATAGCAAAGGGTGCCAAATCTCATTATACTTCTTTTGTCTGACTCAATCTTTCATTACAGGAAATGCGAAACTATTTATATTCGTTTTCCCAGGTTAACAAGGTAAGCAAAAAGCAGATAAATAGAACTTTCTGCTTTTTTCCCCACGCATTAAAATCCTTTTATCTCAGTAGAATCTGATGTGTACGGCGTTGCTTGCGACCTTATCAATTCATATACTTCCTTTTAATTAACTGGATGTGCGACTGTTTAATTAGGTGTTAGTATACGCGTTGGAGGAACTGCAATATTTAGCAGCTTGTTATCGGTTTTGTTAACAACACATTATTAGTACAGAATATTGCTCCATCGATTTTTCGCCTTAAGATTTCAGCTGGTAACGATCACGCCAACGATTCGCTTATCATTTCATCAGCAAGAGCGATAACATCTTAACAATTCTTGACGAATGGATAAAATTAAAAGAAGTCAGTTTTATAACAAGTTTTGGGGGTGAATGACAGAGATCGATTTCTTTTGACTGAAGGGAGAGGGCGCGGAGATTGGCAAACATCTTTTTTGGGCAGTCGCACGCGTAGCAATTCCTTTTGCCTTTTGTCGAGTCGTGTCTCATTTTACTAGCGAACAAAGAGCTCTAGATAATCACTTTTGAGAACAACTGCTAGTACAGTTACCAAGTACGAGTTCTTTTGACACGCAAAGCGGCTGACAATAACGCGTTGTTTGAACTTGGGGGAAAACAAAACGCCCTGAATGGGTTTACTTGGAGATCCATTACACATAGCTCGCTTTGACAGTTTTAATAAACGCGAACAATGGAACGCCTTTGGACTAACTTAAGCAAACACACATTGCTCAAAAGGTTATTAAAGCTCGTTTTGCTGTGTCTCAACTCAAATAAAAAGTAGACACTATTTTCCGTCACGTTGACAAACAAGGCATAGAATACGCACGGAAAGTCATGCAATGCAGGTGGTAAAATATGTCTGCTCAGTTAATCTAGCGGTGAACTGATTTGTTTACACATCGAGTCCTTGCACCAAAAACAGCTCCTGACAAACGATTACTTTATTAAAACAACTCCACCTTTTATACACAATTGCCTCGGTAAAACCTGGCTCTATTTACTGAACAAAAAATGAAATGAATTTTACATGCGTCTTAGATCGCTTAAAGGACAGTAAACTTCAAGTAATTCTGGATAAATTTCTGAATCATACTTTCTTTCAAAATAGGATTGCAAAGCCACACGTTGCAAACTTTTGCATTTATTTGCTGCCAGAGGACAAGGCGTTTATACATAAAATCGCAACTGAGATCTTAGAAGAAATTTATGATGAAACATCGTAAAAACGTGGGTTCAAAACGGTCCAAATCGCTACAGCAACTAAAAAATACAAAAAATACTAGTTTATTAGCTTTTTAAATAAAGTCATTTGCAGTAAAAAATAGATAAAAAAAATTAAAATGTTATTTGTCTCACACCAAACTATATTAAAAGACTCATCCCGAAGACCCATCCCTTATTTGAACTGAAAATGCTGCCCTTCACCCCACCGACACACACTGAAATAAAACCGCCATCACATCTTAAAATATCTAAAAAATATCAAACGCCTGCACAGTGGTGTCCAAAGGCGATGAAATGCTGTTTATCAACATAGACGAAGCCGAAAGAGAATCTAAAATACGTAAAACTTCAAATCTTACGATAAAAGTCCCGTACATAACCGTGTCAGTTCGAGATTGCAGTCTTAAATTAGAATTTTTTTTGTTCAATCTGACACCACCCACTAGACTGTTGAGCCCACAGTTTGATACAATACTACTTAAATGTTTCATTAAGGCAGATTTCTAAAGAATAAAAACTTCGAAATCTATAAAAAAATAATGTTAACTGGGGCGTTAAAAGTATGAACGTTGTAATGTGTGTTTTGGAATAAACAAAATTTTAAGTTCCAAAAAGAGGCGTTGAATGAAACTTCATATTGAACGATTCCATGCAAAGTAGCATTTCAGCGAAATGTTTTGGTGAATATACCCAGCCCTGCACTTTGTGTTGTCACGCTGTGTTTCATACTATAAACGGGGATCCAAGGGTTTAAACGGTCCGTGGTGTTCCTGTTTTATCCATACACTGTCTATGACCGAACCATCATAAGCTCTGATTTGTTCCCAGTACACATGAGTTAAGTTCTCAATCCTTAGTTTACCGTAACCGGCGTTGCCTGGGAACCACTCGCGGAAGGCGGACCAAGGACCTGATGAGAGACGACGATTAACAGTTATGTCCATTTCAAGAATCTTCGCCGAAACATTTTATTTATTTATTTAGAGAGGGAAGACGAACAGGGATGATGGACTGAGATTTGCAATTTTCAAGAGGAACAATGTCCGATGTAGCCCCTGGAGGCATGAGATAGAAAATGAACTAATTTTTTATCTATGAATATAAATAAGAGAAAATAAAGGCCATGAGAATCAAGGAGAAGTGACCTGCAAAAAGAGGAATTCCCCCTTTCACTTTTTTAGTCATTCCATAATCACTTTACGTTGGAAAATTGTTTAAAAAAGAGAAAGGAAATTTTTGTTTCGATATTGGAAGATTAGGGGTCATCAATCGACGTTTAGACGTAGATTGGAGTTACCACCGAACCCACAACTGACCTATTATTCAAACTGAAATTAAGGCAGAGACGGGAGTCAAATGAAATCACAAAATTACTAAGGATGAAAAAAACAAATAGTTACAAAATGAACAAAACTGCTTAAAAAAACCAAACAAACAAAAAACAAACAAGGATGGTGCGAGTTCTAATTTTTTAGCAAAACAGGACGTTGTCTTGAGCGGGATTCTGATCGAAATACATGACAAAGAGACACTGCTAGTCACAAACGAATGCCACCCATTATTCTAAATTGACCCTAGTTTGGTGATGAACTTCGTCTTACGCTTTCCAACGAAGCTAAAAAAAATCATAGGCCCATGCAGTTTTGAAGGAAAACGAATGCTAGAACCCCACCCCCTCCTCCTGGAGGATCATGTCCTCTGTCAATGGTGGAAGGTGTGGTGACCAAGCGAATGACACGATTACCAAGGTACTTCCTCCATGCAGACTAACAAATGCAGACGTCGTCGACTCTTTTCTGGAATTAGTTACCCACATTTTTTTAATCCATTTCTCCAGAAGCTCAACAGGGGCTGAGAAACAACCAGGCGCGTAATATCTTCAACAAAGGACGACCTTCAATCCTTCCTTGTTATCTGCGGATCCGCGAAATGGCGAGTTCCAGATTCTTCAGTTGAGTCAGTTTGTTTCTTTAAGACAAAACCAGAGGCAAGGACTCATCGAATTGTTGATTTCCTGGCCGACTTATTTTTTAACGTTGAACAGCTATCTTTCGTCAAGAAAGGTTAAATGCTTTCTTAACCAAAGTTAGACCTCCGCACAGTTGGATATCAAGTCTCCATTTTCGTTGTTGTACTGACTTCTTGTTCTTAAGGGAAATGACCATCAATTTGATTGGACAGGTGGTCGTTCGATGAACCACGAATGTAAAGGAATTGTGGCTTATTGAAGAAAGCTTTGTTGAATGAAGACTATAGCGGTAAGACCATGGCGAGATACGCTGCGATGAAGTAGTATTCTTTGAACAAACAAATTAGCTGCTCCCTGAATTTAGTAAGCAAGAAACAAGCCCTCCCAAACGAAAATATACCACTGATTTGTACAAGCTATATCTCCACATGGTTCATAAAGATTTCAAATCTCGATTCTTAGCTGCATGAATAACAAGATGCTCTTGACTACAGCTTGAGACGTTTCTAAAGTAACGCGTTTGATGTAAAGAAAGTGGCTTACCAAGCACTTTTCAGTTGCATGAGACTCTCGTTCAATTTTCTAAATCAAAGCATATTTTAAGGAAGGACAACTATTGGGAACTGCAGTAGAGCCGGTGAAAACGGTTCGAGATGCGAATTATTCAGACAAAAAAAGAAAATAAATTTACTACCGCGAAAGCGGAAGCGGCTTATGCTGGGAATAACGAACCTATAGTGTTAGGATTTAGCACGGCAACAAGTGATTTCTTTTACGGACTCCAGTGCTAATTATTACATTTTTGCCACCCTTGAGTTTAGGATATCCACAACTGAGGTAAACACATCCATTTATGAGTCTCTATCAGCTTTTAAGACATTGCATACCTCTAGGTCCCAGCATGGGATTCACGCATATTCCATAAGCCTCGTTGCAGCCTGCCGCACCCGATATCAGGTGGACTGGGGCCTTTGGATTGCTGTAGTTGTCAGCCGTTACTACGTCGTTGAACACTGGCCAGAGGCGTTCGTACGAGTGCTCATGCGCTTCGATGATAATGTCTACACCGTACTGGAAAAATAACGGCTCCAAGCTAAGGAAAGTCATCAAAAACAAAAATTGGTTCAAATTCACCATCAAACTGCTCACTCTCCTTTATCATAGAATTATCGTGAATTACATTAACTCAAGCAACTGAAAGTTTTAGGATTCCTTTTTGGTACAACTGGGTGCCTTAAAAGTTCATCGAGCTCGTTATGAACTAGGCGCTTTTTTTTGGTGGTTCTTTGATCAACTCTCTTCTCTCATTTTCAGCAATGTATTCATGGCATATTCACACGCTGTTCTGCCAGCAATATTCTCGACGCCCGTTGATTTAGGTAGTTTTCTCCTCTGTGCTAGCTGTAGTCTTCATCAAAGGTTGAATTAACCCGTTTTCATTTTTAATCATTCCTTTGAAAAGGAACTGAGTCAGGATCATGAGTTGAACATCTTGAAAAAAGATGCCTCAAATATTTCGAATTCAAACAGACCTCCTACTGAAATGCAATTTCATACGGTTCATATGCCGCAGAGGAAAGAAAAAAAAGCGGGGGGGGGGGAGGAGAGGGGAAGGGGGTTTAGGGCGGTAAGTGGGTCTTTTAACAGAAAAAATGCCAACCAACCTGTGCCTAACCACAGAGTGAAGCGTGGTACAATCATCTTTATCAATGTTTGAACAGTACATTGGTCTGTGACCAAACGCAATGATCCACGGACGCTTAGCACGGTTCTCGGGCTGGTTTGCTTTTTTAAGGTCGTTGGTTAACCACTCGAGTTGACCTTGAATTGAGCCGTTGGTGAAGTACACTTCAGACGAGTAACTGTTAAAAAATGAACGAAAAAATATCTATAAAATGGCAATAAAATCCGTACGAATTCCTTACAATTTATCTGATTCATGATTTAGTGTTCCAAACTCAGTAAGAGTTTTGGTACCTACTGGATTAGAGGGGATGGACGGGAACGATAGGGAACTTCCACATGAAATGACCTGGGGTTGTAAGTAAAACATGAAGCCGTCATGATGTTTCAGAATGTTACAGAGGTTGATAAGAGGGGAGATTTTCCAAAACCTATTAACTAACTCAGTCCACTTTACGGCGCTGTATTTTTTAGTTAAATTACGAGCGAACCGCTATAAGATAACTTTGTGGGTTAAAATCAAAATTGTTCTATTTTCTCGGCTTTGTCAACCGCTACCAAGAAAGTAACACTAAACTGATCAGATTCACTTTTCACCCTGGAAAAGCTATCTCATTCGAGACCAAAACTCCTTGTGTCTAAACTTATTTCAATTCCTTCTATGATCGCCTCAAAAGGTTTCTCTTACCAACCTTTCAGAACCTAGGATCTTTTATGCCCAGTTGCAATAGCAGAGTTGACTATATTGGCATAGTAATGTGAAATATGAGACAAACGTACGCGATGAAGTGAGCTCTGGCGACGTCAAAGCTGTACCACATTCTGTCGACTGCAGTGGGCCACTCGAGTTGCGGCATGGAAAACCTGTATCGGTAATGACTAAAGTTGAAGGCAATCTCTGCAACAAGAGAGAAAAAAACCCAAATATAACTTATAGTGAATGTTATTGTAGATGGCTAGCAGCGCCCATAAGTATGATGAAGCGAATTCTGTGTTTTGATTAGCTACCCATGCGGGCAACATGGGCCTATCCAGTCAAAACAAAGACATCATAAACGGCCCTCGTGGGCTCATTGTGCTACAAACACAGCTGACTTTCTTTCTCTACATTGACCGAGCTTATCCGGTCAGGATGGCTGGATTTTAGCCTCTTTTTTTTCCCCGTTTTTATAGACCTCGGCTTCGTTTCGGTCCATAAAAACGCGACAAAATAACTCCAATATCCAGCCATCTTAATCTCACGCTTGGTCATTAACACACACACACACATATATAAAATGTCGAGCAGGTGTGATTTTGGCGAGTGGGAGCTCAGTATTTTCTTGGTGAAAACCATAGCGCCATCTTTGACTTTCACAGCTTTGATTTTTACAGGAAGGCTGGGGATAGGATGGAAATTTGTTACAAAGGCGTAAGCGACGGTCCAAAGGGGTGGATCCGGCCGTCTCACTTTTTCCACGCGCCCTCCCCCTACTCGTCCGCTTGCGATCGGTTAACATGGCCGGATAAACGATAGCAAGCTTGAAACCGCGCAAACTCGTCCTAACAAGAGGCCTACATTACAGGCTATGAGTGACTGGTTTCGTTCCCTTTTTAAATCATATATTTTCATGACTTTCCCGAACCTCTTTCAATCTACTTTTTGAGTAGTTTTCCCACCGAACCTTGGATAAAACTCTTACCGTGATTTCCAACACATGTCATGTAAGGAATCCACGCGGCCATGTCCTGAATTCTGTTCATAAACGCGTCACCATTCTGAGGTAAGAAAAGAACAAGAGAAACTAAGATTTTTCAAGTTAGTATGTCACAAACAAAAAAATGAAGAGTGAACATGCTGACCTCAGCTTTGAAACTGACTATGACAGTTTTTATGCAGGTCTGTACTTTCGTGCAAGTGATTTTAATCCGTATGCCTTGATCGAGTATCAATTTATGGATTTGCCACCTGAATCTGTCCCTTAAATTATTTATTGTATTCCTGTTTATCGCACGACAAAATCAGCTGAAAAATTAAGTTAACGATGAAAAAAATTCTAAAAAGAAATAAAAAAATAAAATAAAAAAAAATCAAGACGATTACATTTCAAAATCAGAATGATTTAATCCCTTAGCGACTTGGCAACCTTCTGGTGTTGCTTTGAAATAGTTTATTAGACAATCTCCGATCTTACAACTGGCAATTTCCTACCGTGCAGTTAAGATGCTTCTGGGGCACTACATTGGGGAAAGCGAAAAAGCTGCACCTTTACTTACAAGTCCTCCGTCAGTTTGAAGGTCATACGCGAAGTCCCCGACATGCAACGCAGCCGTGTTGCGCCCGGACCTAGCTTCCATGATAAGCCGTTTGAGACTAGGCGCTCCTCCAATTCGACCCATGTCTCCATAAACCAAGAACTGCGGCGACCATTCCTGCAAAAGACAAAAAAATTGTAGGCACATCAGTATTTCTTTCATCATCGTTGTCTAGTACCAACCTGATCAGACAAAGTTCCTTTAGCAGACTAGATTGGTAGATTTATCATCAGCTTCCCCATTTAAAATGTGTGTGGAGCGTAGTCTTTCAGGGCTCGGTTTCGCTAAGCTACACGCCACTTTCTAATCTGAATTTCCAATGATCTCCAGGCCGAGTCTAATTTCCTTCCCTCAAAGGAGGGAGGGGTGGGAAGGGCTTTGATTGTATGACATTCAATCCAAGAGCCTTTCAAAAATATCGCATCTATTAACTGACAACTTGTACTGAATTGCTAAGTTTAGCAAGAGGGGGTCCAAAGATTCTTGGTTTAGGCGAGACTGAGCCAAAAGGCGAAGCGCACGTAATATTCATTTACAATGGAGTGCGTTTCCCACCAATCCTGCTAATCCCAGTTCTAACAAAGCTCAAATTTATTCAACCTTTATGGGCTTTTTGCTAGTTCAGCCGCTTAAAGAACGATTCCTAGCTCTATCTAGTTGTCCTACGTTTTGAAGAAAGGCTTTCTCAGATTCAGTTCCGTCCTTCGAATTAGCACTCTCTTTATAACAGGCGTGCACCCTTTTACATACAAGCTAATTGGTTTTAAGAACCGAGTTAATACTGTAAATTGGCTAAAACTGACGTTTCCAGCGTTAGCGCTTCATCCAGCGTTAGCCCATTGGCTCTGAGTTGGTCAGCTGATAAAAACCATAGTTACCTTGTTATACTTCCCCACCGACGCAGCACCACAGTTTTTTTATAAAGTAACCCCTTTATTTACCCTTGTACATAGTTAGGCACCCTTTCTATTATTTTTTTAGCCTGGGAAATCAACCACTGCCACAAGAGCGTAGCCTTCAAATACCATTTCAGGGCCTGTCAACTTTGTCTCTTCCAAATTATGAAGGGAAAAATTGTTTAGTTACCCACATATATCTGCGAGATAAAAGCTGGTTTGTTTGTTTGTTTTTGATATTATTATTACAAAACACAAGTGAATTTTAGTCTTCCTAACAGAACTCCATAATAATTTTGGAAAGCCAGGAAAAACTAAAAATACATTGTATCGACTTTCCAGAGAGGTAATTCGAAATTTTTTGTTCTCGATTGTCGAAAAAAGACCCCAAACCTTTAGTACTCATATGAAATGATCTCTTAAGATTTCGGTGCCACCGTGGGGAAATATACCCTGCGAGCAGAGCCTTTTTAATCCGTCCTCGAAAAGAGGAAAAGAAGAAGAAAAGAAGAAGAAAAGAAGAAAAGGCTCTGCTCGCAGGGTAGGGAAAATACGACCACTTGTCACTCAACATTTTAAGTCTTCCCCAGGGAAAGTAAACGCGTAACCAATGATTCCATTATACATAAATGATCCGGTGGAACATTTTGAACAAATATAGTATTGTTTCCTTCTTGGAGAATCAGCTTTTGATACGTGAATATTGTTAGTCATTATTTGAACGTATAACACTTTCCAAGGGACGCGCGGAACTCACAACAGACGGCGAGCTGCCGTTGTATCGTCTCCATCTGGTCAAAGCGAGAAAGACTCTTTAAAAACGGCTTATCGAACTCCATAAAGAGACCGCTTCTGCTAACACAGACTGAATTACCGACTAGCTATGGAATCTTCAAACAAAGATTGTTACAAATACTTTTTCTAGTCTGCTTATAAACTTTCTGAAAATTCTTTTATTCGGTTATCATTTGTTTCGGGAACAACGTTGTAAACGAAAATTTATCGCTTTTCGCCAAACTATAAGAAAAGTAACCGAGCTCACAACATTAAAGAATTTCCGTAAAATCAGTTAACGCATAATTAGATCCGTAGAAACGGTTAAAATAGGAATAAATTTTCCAATGAAAGGCATTTAACAAGTAGCAAATTACAAAGTAAACTAGCGTTTGTTATAAAACAGCGCTGGTAATTCAAGAAAAGGTAAACAATCATACTTGTCTGAAAGAAATAATCAACGCTACGACTGAGCTTTCCTATAAAAATGGCAAACAGGATTGACATAAGAAACGGCGCACATAGTATTAAAAACAATATGGTCGAAATTTCCCGTTTCCTGGAAACCACAAAATTTAAGGGAAAACTATCAGTTCCTTTGAAGCCAACAAGAATCACAAACAGCAAAAGGGAAACAAGTTAGGACACGTACAGCACGAAACAAGTCTTTGTAATGTCTTTAAAGTTTCGGCACTACGTGATTTCCTGCAAATGACGCTAAAACGGCCGCGGCTTCCAAAGACGTACGGATATCAAATCTGTAGGAGTTGCTTTCCATTCCCGGGTAAAGATTGCTGCCTCTCAAAATAGTGCTGTTGTCCGAAACGGTAAAGTTAGGGTTGGTAAGAGGTTCGTTCACAGAGAGAGAGGCTATCTGTTCTGGTGCGCGCCAGTTGTTGTATTTAAGGCCACCCAAGTAAACATCTCTTACGGGCCATTGAGCCTGGCAAGGTGTAGGGAAATAAGCACTGCAGTTGGATGGATATTGTGTGGCAACCCCGAACTGAGAATGCAAAATGTTGGACACACTCTTAATCAATCCGTCATTTCCGTTTTTCGTTGTCTTTTCACTTTCGTTGATGGTGTTGTGTTCTTCGGTGAAAGGCGATTCAGTTTGAACGACCGCTGGAGAGAAATGCACTGCAAATTTGATCAAACGGCTTTAATTATAAAATTATGGTTCATTGAGAAGAAAACCATAGGAGTCATAAAAGAAAACCGTTAAAAACAGAGAAGGAAACTTTCCTTAAGCGTATAAAAGCGTTAAGAATGAAAGTTAACAAGATGAGTTTCTGCCTTTTTTCTGAGTTTCTACAAATAAACAAGTTAAAAAAAGAACAAGTTGAAAGCTGCAACAACTTCACCAACACGTCCGAAAAAACCAAACCGTTGTTCTGGTAAATGATCAGCACGAATCCAAAAACAAAAACTTAGCGGGGAAAGCTAGACTCCATGACTGCTTAAACTGGAGACAAGAAGATACACGAATAGAAAACTTGATTGACACCAAAGATAAAGTGTCGCGCGGTGAAATAAAAAAAAATTTGTCAAAACTGCTCTCTCACCTCGAGTGGGCTCGGCGGCGGGTGGAATATACTGATAATTTCTTCTTCCGATTTCTTTCATTTGTTTTCGCCGAAGACGAACTTGCATTTTCATAGTGACTCTTTTTTTCCGTCCATTGACACACTGCTTACAGTCGCAGCGCAAAAACGGACAGCCAAGACGCTTATGACCTTTGAGTTTCGATCGGACTCCGTGATTGAAGCAGAGCGTGCAACAAGGATCACGTTTTTTACTAGTGTGTATCCATTTTTTAAGAAAAGTCCCGCCCATTTCGTTCTGACAGTATTTTGTCAAACAGCGGTCCGCAAGAAGAGTTTCTTTCTTCGGAGACGACGCCCTAAATGCCTCGATCGTCGGCAGGTAGTGACATGTGATCCATAGGCGGCTCTGAAGTCACTGACAAGCACATGTCAGTAAAATAGAAAAAGCTCGCTCACCATTGGGAAAGGTGTCACGTGCGTGGCTCGTGAAATTGACAGAGATCCGGTCAATCCAGTTCAAAAATTTTGTTGCCGTTTTCACCATATATCTTACGTCACTTCGTTGTTGTTATTACAACATTCTACTTCACTTTAATCGGACAACAAAAATTTGAGATGATATACCAATGAAAGCTGTGTTGAGCAATGATACTGGACTTATTACCAGTGGTAAGAAATGAAAGGTTAATCAGAGCTTAAGCAAATCATACTGTTCCATTCTCCGTATCGAAAACAGGTTGGTTCCAAATGCTTTGTGCTAATTCTCAACACCTAGTAAGTGAAGAGTCCCTAAAATATTACTTAGTTACAAGCAACAGAAACATTCATGTAATCAAATGACGCTCAATTTTTTTAAATCTATGTGTAGAAGCTTTTCGACCATCACGATCTCGCTTGATGACTGAAAAGTTGGAAAACTTTTCATCAAGAAAACGTTGCATGATACATCGGTCCGATTTGCTTAGCTTTCGAAGGGAGGGGAGGGGAGGGGGTTCATGCATAACAGCAGCCACTCCTGCAACATTTAATAACAAGGTTATAGCCATCCACTAACATACTATTTTTTAGCAACCATAACTTGGTTATACTCTTTGCTGTTAGTAATAGCAATAGTAATCAAAGTTTAATGTCTTTACGTGGGGCATGGTTACCCATATTGCCCGAGCCAGAGGTTCATGT